TACTTTAGCGTTGAACTTTTCAAGGCCGCTGATCTCATACATCCCGCCTTTCGCTGCGGGTTTTTCTGCTGGAATTCGTTCACCTCCCCATTGGCAGTGGTTCTGAGACATGTTTTCGATTAGTTGATAGGCTTCATTGTATGGCTTATCCATAAGTGCACCGCCCGCGGCGGCGTCTACCATTAATCTGGTGTTATACAGAAGCCCATTGTAGAAAGTATGGATCGTCACCCAGTCTTCTAAACCGTGGTGAGGACATGCTCTCATCATATCTTTGAACCTTTCCCACGCTTCGTAGAGAGATTCAGTATCTTTTTGTCGAAATTCGTTGATTTGGGCTCTAATCATAGCAGTTTTGCTTGGCGGAAAGTATCTTGCTAAGAAAACATTCTTCAACTGTTCCCACGTCGTAACGGAGTTGGATGGTAAGGATTGTAACCATATCCAAGCTCTATCTCTAAGAGAGAAAGGAAAAAAGACGAAGTCTTATTGCGTCTGGAGTTACTCCATTTGCCTTCACTGTGTCCGCGTATTGCACAAACTTCGTTAAGTGTTCGTTTGGATCCTCAATTGCATTTCCTGAGAATTGATTTTGTTGTACAGCTGACAACAATGACGGTTTTAGTTCGAAATCGGTTTGATTGATAGTTGGGGCAGCTATGCTACTTCGAGGCTCCATCTGAGAGGGTGTAGCGTAGTCCTTCAGCGGTTTGTTCTGAGGTCATTCAGCCATCTTTGCTTCTTCAACAGGAGGATGAGCTAGAAGATCAGGAATGTTGTGTCTTCGTTGATATTCGATGATGCGCCTTCTTAGATGTAAGAAGCGCTCTAGTTCAGCGATTGTCGGTTGTAAGATGTCGCCTTGTGAGCGAGTACTTGGCATACAATCGAAGAATGAGTAGAGTTAGAGAGAATTGTTAACCTAGTTTATACTGTGTAACAAAAGATTACACTGTTGACTAAACGGGTCCCCGGCAACGGCGCCAAAAACTTGATCGCGACTTTCTATGTCTGACTCAATTAATTGCAAGTGCACAGTCTATCGCGTAGTAATAATAGATATCGATCCCACAGGGACTCGTAATCAAACTAGTATTATCGGGTGTTATGGTGTTTAGCTAGGTCGATAATGTTTTAAGGGAATAATAACAAAATAAGTGCGTAGACTAAAGAGAACTAATGCTTTTACTTAAGGTATGAATGCTTGAATCGGTATGTAATATGTTATTTCTTCAGGGATTCTATAGGTCACTGGTGTCTTTAGGTTTTCAAAAACAGTTTAAGAAGAAAATGATGGTTTAAAGACCTTTGTCTCACGAAGGTTGTTGACGCTAGTCACAACTCTAAGGCGGAACGTATGTTGTCGCTATCCCGTTCGGGGTTAGAGTTACTTTTTGAAAACTATTAAGTTCCAATTTGTTTTAAAGTGTTGTCGCTGTTTTTAAAATGAATGCCTAGTTTTTACTATCCGGTCTTAGCCTCAACTGTCGCTTGTTGGTTCGTACCTTTATGAATTTCCCACTGTCGTGGCGAAACTACTGTAAATAATTTCTCGCTGTCGCGACGAAGGTTTATTTAAAAAAGTCAAATTTAAAAACTGAAACCATAAATAAGTTCTTGAAAAGGTAGATATACACCGGTTAGTTATTGATTCCCATCAGATTATTTATTACATACCGATTACTTAAGGTTTAGCCAGACATGGAATATAAATAAACAGAACGTAAATAATGGCAGAAAATATATAATAATATTCATTACAATAGGAAATAACAATTCAATTACGATTAGAATAGAAACCTGTAAATAAATCGATTTGGCTTTTGGGAAATCCTCCAAAATGACGGCAGGATTTTGTCTTTATGCCAATTTCTCGTACAGAATGGAAATGGGAAAGTAAAACAGCAATTGCAAGGAAAGAAAGAAAAAGGAAATAAAACAACGATAAGAAAATGGGAAACTGAATATTGCTCTGAAAGTAAATTGGCAGCACTTCGTTTCTTCAATGCGGCTCCCCTTTTTCTGGTACCAGCTACCCCCTTTTATAGATGGGATATTCCACGGTTTATTTCTTCGGGAAGTGGGAGTGATATCAGAGAATATAGGAGTTAGTGGTACCACTTCTCTTTGGCACTTTCACAATTTAACAGCACGTGCAGAAAACTGCATTTTAACTGCATGACGGTCGTCATGGACCTGTGACGGTCGTCACACGCATGACGGTCGTCACACCCTTGTGACGGTCGTCACATCAGCAGAACTCGTTTCTGCTACTTTTTGGCCTGATTTTCACTTGGTTTTCACCTGTAAATGCTTCTTTTCTTTATCTTGCTCCATTTGAGCATGGACTTTGAATACCTGCAAGATACTGGGCAAATAGTGTGGAAATATCCGAATTCGGAGTGAAAACGGTCGCCGATTAGTAGAAAAGTACATCAATATATATATATATATATATATATATATATATATATATATATATATATATATATATATATATATATATATATATATATATATATATATATATATATAATTTCGCGTTATCAGTTAGTATTCAAATTACCAAGCATGTTCATTTCTTAGGTGGCAAGTCCAAGCCCAAGGTTCCTTGGCTCAAGGGAAAAATCTGAAAACAACGAATCAATTTTTCTTCTATTGCAATCAATCAGCTAAATGGTGAATTTTTCAATCACATAATCTTTCATTTGTATGACATCTAATATTTGTTTCATTTACATTAGCAAACAATCTCTCGAACCTCTGAATTAACAGTAGGTACCTCGTCACTTTGGAAGGAACACCCTTTCTAGTTACACCATCATCGTCTTCAGCACCATTATCCTTCTTCTTGTAGCATGACTCCCCACATCTCAGACACTTTTTCAAGTTTTCACACTCTTTCCTATATAATATGAAATCATTACGACATGCATGTATTTTTACATAGTGCAAACCCATTGGATACAATATCTTTTTGACCTTATAACTACAGTTTAGCAACATGTTACCTTCTGGAAGCATTTTTTACAAAACTTCAAGCAATTCAGTGAAATTTTTATCCGTCCATCCACCTCTTGCCTTAAGATTAAATAGTCTTAATATAGTTGACAGTCTCGTAAAAGTTTTGCATTTCGAATATAACGACTCTTCAAGGTCTATTTGCAAAGTATCTTCCATATGAGCTTTCTTAAAATCATCTATTCCAATATAACAAATCATATCTTCTAAATTATCATTCATAAATTCATCATCTTCAATTCTAAGTGACATAGGTCTTTTTTATCACTTCACCATGTCATACCCATTTCGTATAATTTTGAATAATTTCATCATAACATAAATGATTGAATATAACATCCATTGGATGTTTTTGCGTATTTCGGCAAAACAAGGACACCATAAAATCTCATTATTGTAAGGAATGTTTTTTCTCCGCAAATTCTAGAAAATTGAATCACTCAATTCTCATACTCTTTACTTAATTTATTGACTCACATCCAACTACGTTCCATAATAACACAACTTTTGAAAGTAAAATAAAAATGAATATTCCAAAATAAAATAATAATAACAATAAACAATAACTACAAATACTAGAAAACAACACTACATTATACCCTAAGTCTCAAAAACCATGACAATAACAACAACAACTACAAATACATCAACAACAACATGAAAAAAGTTCTACATACGAGAAACGTGATAAGAGAGTCAATGAAAAGTGTTGGTTTGAGGTTCGAGTTTTCTTCCTCCTTGGAGAAAATGGTGTTTGAGTTCGTTAGGTGGAGAAAATGGTGTTTCGTTTGCTAGGGCGTAAAAAGTGAATGAAACTTAACATTTTGTTGAGGGAGTATAATATTGTTTAAAGTTTACATCTCGATTTTCAGAAAAACCGAGAGCACATAACCGAGGTAAAAACTTCGTTCAATTTAATTAAATTTTTGGAGGAGTTATTTCAACTAGGGAGCATTGAACATTGTGAGACTTCTTTTTGGAGCAACACTTATGTGAGAGACGCACCACATACTCACTCAAAATCTTAAGATGATAGGTGTGTGAATTTTATAATTTATAAATGCTTAAGTCTCAATATTTCTAACTAATATGAGACTATTACCCACACTATTCACACCTGCTATATTCTCAACATAAATAAAATATTAATCAACATTTAATGTTAGTTTTCTAAATAATCGAGAAAAAAATATGATTTATAAAATAAAAGTGAAAATTTGATTCTAAATAAAGTATAAATTTGTAGAAGTTGAGAATCGAAACTCAAGAGTTATTGATTTTCTGCAAAATCGAGAAATAAGATTAAACTTTAAAAAAATAAAAAATAAAATGACGTGTTTCAGATCATTTAACTGTAGATTTTTATTAGCCGAAGTGAAAATATTGTCATAAAATATATCATTAATAACAGTGAATTATAAATAATAAAAATTATTTATACATAGTATATGACCAAAAAAATACATTTTAAAATATTTAAATGTAAATATATTTTTCCTCTGGTCAAAGTAAAGGTTAAAGATGAGTATTTTATACTATGTTACTTCTACTATCTAATTTCAAATTTTGTGTCAAGGAATCACGTAGGCTTGTCTTATTCATAAAAATATAACACTGTCTTATTCATAAAAATTATAAAACAATAAGTCTTAGATAACTTCCGTACGAATATTCTTGTTTCTTCGTGGAAGTTTCGGACCAACTGGACAACTTCAAATAAAACTGCAGCAGTCAAAACTATCTGCGACGCGATGCCATATTGTTATAGGTTCCTTAACTAAGTGGATAATGAACCATAAATAATTATAGCAACTATTCAACGCGCACACGTTTTTACAACCGCGTTATTCCATCAAATCTCCTTTCTATATATACACACAGTTCACTCTTTCAATTTACATTTCACTACAACTTGTCTTCTTTTTAATCTCTCTAACATCAAAATCTCAATTCCTGTGATCATTTCGGCATCATAAAACATGGCAGATAACAAGCAACCACAACTGAACGGCGCATACTACGGCCCCGCCATTCCACCGCCAGCACAACCCCGTCCCTACCACCAACGAAGCAGAAGCTGTTGTTGCTGTCTCTTCAGTTTCTTCTGGAAGCTCTTTGTCACGCTGATCGTTCTCGCTGGTCTCGCGGTCCTTATCTTCTATCTCGTTGTTCAGCCCCGCCCCTTCAAATTCTATGTCACAGAAGCCAAGCTAACTAAGTTCGACTACGCAAACAACACGATACACTACAATATGGTTCTCAATTTCACAGCCCGCAACCCAAACAAAAAGCTCAGCATCTATTACGACAAAGTTGAGGCTCTAGCGTTCTACGAAGGGGCGAGGCTTACTAATAATGTTGATGTGATCACACACATGAACTCGTTTCGCCAATATAAGAAGAGCAGTGACCCCATGAGCGCTGTTTTCTCAGGACAGAAGCTGTTGGTGCTCGAGGATGATCAAGTGTCAGAGTTCAACGACAATAAGAGTGCCGACGTTTATGACATCTATGTGAAACTCTACTTCAGGATTAGGTTCAGACTCGGAGATTTGATATCTGGCGATTACAAGCCAAAGGTGAAATGTGATCTGAAAGTCCCTTTGAATTCTAACAACAAGACGACTGCAACGTTTGTGCCCACCAAGTGCAGTGTTGATTTCTACTGATGTGCGCATCTGGTTGGTTTCTTGGCACATAAGTAATATTTCGGATTTTATTTGTTTATAGTTTTTTCCCTTCTTTTTTCTATATGTGATATTTGTTATTTATTTTATTCATTCTTTCGGTGTACATCACTTTCATATATTTCGATCAAATAAACAATTTCTTTTTCTTTATATCATCTGTTTTGTTATTATTAATTTAACTAATGTATTTCACAATGTCACCATTAGTTCTTAAAAAAGGCACACTTTTTTTTAAAAAGAAGTTTACTAATCGATGTTTTATTTTAGACAAATAAAGATGATTTTACATTGCAATTTAGTCATGTATTTTGTGTTAAAATTTTAAAGTTGTTGGTTGAAAGTGTTCGAAGAAGAGAAAGAGATGATAATTCAATCATTAATTTAGTCATATATCATATAATAGTTTCTTTAAAAAAGACACACTTTTTAAAAACGAAGTTCACTCAGTTAAATATAATTCATTGTGATTTGATATGATTAGATTTGATATCATATGATTAGATTTGATTTAGAATATTTTGGGCCTTTTATGTTTTTGGCTAGTGTAAACCTAAAACTATAAATAGGGTGTCTTGCTTTGTATTCTACATCACAACAGAACAGATTTCACAGTTGCAGTTAGCAAGTGAAAGTTCAATAAGAAATCCCACAGTTGTGGTAACACATTCTCTCCAAATACTTCTTCTCTCATTCTTCTCTTTCTTGTTTGTTATTCTTCTTCTCTTTTGTTGTTCTTGATAATTACTTGTTATTACCATCATTACCATATTGTGGGTTTGTTCATCAATCTTGAGATCAAGATTGAAGGGAATTCTTCATAGGGTGTGAGGTGAATTTCCAACATCTAGTATCTAGAGCTTCGGTTAAGAGATTCAAGGAAGGAAGATAGTGATGGCGATGAACTATCCAAACGGCAACTTTTCGGCGACCCTGCCAATTCTCAAGAAAGACAATTATGAGAATTGGTGCAAGCAGGTTAAGGTGATCTTCTGTTATCAAGATCTTTGGGATCTTGTGAAGGACGGAGTAACATCGCTTGGGGAGAACGCAACGGAGGCGGAAAAGGCTGCGCACAAAGAATTGAAGAAGAAGGATTATAAAGCACTCTTTATAATTCATCAGTGTGTCAATCCTGATAACTTTGAAAATGTTAGTGATGTTGATTCAGCAAAAGAAGCATGAGAGATTCTTGAAAAGTCGTTTGGAGGCGCAGAGAAGGTGAAAGAGGTGAGGTTACAAACTCACAAGAGAACCTATGAGTTGCTTCAGATGGAAGACAATGAAAGCATTACAGATTTCTTCACCAGAGTTACAAAGTTGGTGAATCAAATCAAAGTATGTGGAAAAGCGCTGACGACGAAAGCAGTTGTCTTAAAGATTTTGAGATCGTTGGCTCCAAAGTTTGACCACGTGGTAGTTGTCATAGAAGAGTCGAAAGATCTGTCAGTGTTGACGAAGGAAGAGCTTCAAGGGACTCTTGAGTCTCATGAACAGAGGATGGCTGAGAGAGCTGCAGGAAAGTCGAAAGATATGGCTTTGCAGGCACAGACGGAAAAGGAGAGAAAAGGCAAAGGTAGCTGGAATGGCAACAAAGGAGGAAACCAGTCAAATCAAAAGAAACCTTGGAACCAAGGCAACCAAAGAGGTGGTGCTGCAGGTAAAGGAAGAGGTGGTGATCGAAAGACAGACAAAAACCACATTCAATGTTTCAATTGCCAGAAGTATGGTCATTATGTTAGTGATTGTCCAGAAAAGAAGAGAAATCAAGAGACTGATGCAAAGCTGGCGAAACATGAAGAAGAAGAAACGTTGCTAATGGTCACAACAAACGATGAAGAAAGATTCCAAGATCAGTGGTACTTGGACTCAGGATGCTCATCACACATGACTGGAAGGAAAGATTGGTTTGTCAACATGAAGCCCTCGTCGAAGAATACGGTGAAGTTTACAAATGACAACACTCTAGCAGCTGAAGGTGTTGGTGATGTTCTGATTATGAGGAAAGATGGCAAAAGGTCAACAATTTCCAATGTGTTGTACATACCAGGCATGAAGAGTAATTTGCTCAGTATAGGGCAGCTTGTCGAAAAGAACTACAAGGTAGTTGTCGAAGACAAGATGATGAGAGTCCTCGACGCAGGTGGTAGACTAATCTTGAAGGCTCCAATGTCTCAGAATAGGACCTTCAAGATTGGACTCAATGTGATGGAGCACAAGTGTTTAGCAACTGCAGCCACTGAAGTCGAAATAGAAGTTCGACAGGAACCAGTTGCAGATGAAGCAGGTTCAAGCAGACCTCGACGAACTAGACACATGCCTGCAAGGTTGCAAGAATGTGTAATCACATCAGATGATGTAGTCGATGAAGAGGGTGAGCTGGTACGTTATGCTTTCTACGCAGATGTCGAACCAATCAATGCAGCTGAGACATTGAAAGATTCGAAGTGGGTGAAAGCAATGATTGAAGAGTTAGAGTCCATCAAAGTCAATGATACCTGGTCACTTGTCGAATTGCCGCAAGGCAAGAAGGAAATTGATGTGAGGTGGGTTTACAAGGTGAAGGTAAATCCTAAAGGAGAAGTAACTCGACACAAAGCGAGACTTGTGGCGAAAGGATTTCTTCAGAAGGAAGGAATCGACTTCGATGAAGTATTCGCACCTGTTGCTAGAATCGAAACAATCAGGTTGGTTGTTGGTCTAGCAAATATGAACAACTGACACACATGTCAGATGGACGTGAAATGTGCATTCCTTAATGGCCCCTTAGAAGAAGAAGTTTATGTTGCACAACCAGCTGGGTTTGTGAAACAAGGCGAAGAAAGAAAGGTGTACAGGCTTCATAAAGCCCTGTATGGACTTAAGCAAGCTCCAAGAGCTTGGAATAAGAAAATTGACAGCTTTTTAAGGGAGAAGGAATTTGTGAAGTGTACAACTGAGCATGGAGTATATGTAAGAAGAAGCAATGGCGAATTGCTTATACTATGTCTCTATGTTGATGATTTGTTGATAACAGGGAGTTCCAAGAAGGAGATCGAAGATTTCAAACATGACCTGAGTAAGGAGTTTGAAATGTCAGACTTGAGAAATCTCTCATATTTCCTTGGCATCGAATTCTACAAGACAAGTAGAGGTTTGACGATGCACCAAAGAAGATATGCAGGCGAGATACTCAAGAGATTTGAGATGCAAGATTGCAACCAAACTTCGACTCCAGCTGAGCCCAGATTGCAATTGTCGAAGGATTCAGATAAAGATGATGTCGACCCAACCCAATACAGAAGACTTATTAGGTCACTTAGATACCTTTGCCACACAAGGCCTGACTTAGCATACAGTGATGGTATGATAAGTAGATTCATGCAGAAACCAAAGGTATCATACCTAGCAGCGGCGAAGAGGATACTGAGGTATCTGAAAGGAACTCTCGACTATGACATTTTGTTTCCAGCAGCTGATGAAGGCAAAAAATGCAAGTTAGTGGGATACACAGACTTCAGTTGGTGTAGTGATGCTGAGGATCGAAAATCCACAGCTGGATATGTGTTTATGTTAGGTGGTGCACCAGTTGCTTGGAATTCGAGAAAGGAACCAGTGGTGGCATTATCATCATGCGAAGCAGAATATATAGATGCTTCCCTTTGTGCATGTCAAGCAACTTGGATGGTGAACTTGGTCGAAGAAATCACAGGGAAGAACCATGGAGCAATTACCATGAAGATAGACAGCATGTCAGCTATCAACTTGGCAAAGAATCCAATAGCTCATGGTCGAAGCAAGCACATCGAAATGAGGTTCCATTATCTCCGAGAGCGGGTAGCAGAAGGGAAGATGAAGTTGGAACACTGCAGAACCGAGAATTAGATTGCAGATATCATGACGAAGGGAGTGCAGGTCGAAGCCTTCAGAAGACTAAGGGCCATGATGAATGTAGACAGTTTAGACACAATGAATTAGGTGGTGTGTTAAATATAATTCATTGTGATTTGATATGATTAGATTTGATTTAGAATATTTTGGGCTAGTGTAAACCTAAAACTATAAATAGGGTGCCTTACTTTGTATTCTACGTCACAACAGAACAAATTTCATAGTTGCAGTTAGCAAGTGAAAGTTCAATAAGAAATCCCACAGTTGTGGTAACACATTCTCTCCAAATACTTCTTCTCTCATTCTTCTCTTTCTTGTTTGTTATTCTTCTTCTCTTTTGTTGTTCTTGATAATTACTTGTTATTACCATCATTATCATATTGTGGGTTTGTTCATCAATCTTGAGATCAAGATTGAAGAGAATTTTTCATAGGGTGTGAGGTGAATTTTCAACACACTCATCGATGTTTTATTTTAGACAAATAAAAATAATTTTACATTGCAATTTAGTCATGTATTTTGTGTTAAAATTTTAGAGTGGTTAGTTGAAAGTGTTCAAAGTAGAAAGGGATGATATTTATTATTTATTGTATTCATTCTTTGGGTGTACCAATCATATGTTTCGATCAAATAAACAATTTCTTTTTCTTTAGCTCTCTAGATTAAATTGTTTGCTATTATTAATTTAAGGTGATGAATACATATCAAATTATAAATGTTATAAGACATATATCTCAATATTATAGTTTTCTTATATTTTGTATTGCTTTTTATTAAATTTTTTTAATTACATCTCTAATGTTTCTTTCTCACAGCTATTACTTCCATATTTTGATAAAAAAATATGTATATGAAAAAACAATTCTCAGATTCTTACTCTTTCAATCCTACATTTGATAGAAAATAATTATATAACTCTATTTCATCTCTGGTCTAATTTAAGATGACAGAGAGTTTAGTTTTGAAATTAGTTTTATTCATATTTTTATTAAAAGAGAATATTAAAAATTAATTGAAAATATTTTTACAAATATTAAGTGTTTGAATCTAATTTAAAAATCATATTATTTTCTTTACAGATTTGCATGTTGGTCCATTGATCTAGTAACTAA